CTACTTTTTCCCAAAAATTTTGCTGTCGAGCGGGGGGGGCATATAGTACGCATGAAACAGGAAAATCGTAAAAAGTCAACCAGCACTCCCAATGAAACAGGAAAATCGTAAAAAGTCATCCCACCACTCCTAGAAAGGCCAGAAATTAAATACGACCCTCCCCCCCCCCCCCCGTCGCTCCTATACAACGTCGCGTGAAGCGACATAAATAATCCTATCAGTAAATTTTTTCGCGCAATACGACTCCGCCCCTCTCCTGGCGGCCAAGTACGACCCCCCTGTTGGGGATTCCCCAACGACGTGTGCCCTGGGGGGGGGTGATCGAATGGCATTGCGTACGGACTGCTGCTTTTTCTAGCTAGTTGGCCCAACGGTGCGCTTTGCGGCTCATTGTCAGGATGCTTGTTAACCGCAAGGCCTCCCTCCCCTTTCCTTTTTTTTCTGTCTATGGGACAACGTAGAACTCAATCCTTCACTGGCTACAACTTTCTCTTTTTTCTCAGCGCTCTCACGTCTCTACGTCGTCTCTGGCTCGCGACATGTTTTTTGTACCTCTCTATGCCCTGACAGCAGCAGTCCTTTGATTCTGTACGCTCCAGCCTTTCGCAGCAGACCCCAGGAAAAGTGTTGTCACGTAAACTTTTTCCTCTTTTGTTATTTTTGTTCCCTCCTTCTCTCTTGCTTTTCTTTCTCTTCTCCCTTTAACTGCTAGACCAGCAGATGCGATGAGAAAATACCTCTGGACGTTCGCAGCGAGAACAGAGCCCTGTTGACAGGGCTCTTAACAAGAGCCCTGTCGCCAAATCAACAATTTAGCATTCTATGTCCCTCAAAGCCGAATTGGGCCCTTTTATTCTTATTCTCTGCACTTATTTCAGCTTTTCTCGTACGATAGAGGTTTTTTTCTATTCCTTGTCAAATTAAGACCATTGAGTCATTGCTTTTTTTAATATCGTGCCGCGTGGGTCTTTGGCTTGCAGTCTGTTGGCAGTAACTGTTGGCAACGAAGACAAGTTCCGCTCTATTGGCGCTCAATATGAATAATGTTGGCATTTAACGATGAATCGTATCGATTGAGACATTCAAAATTGGCGCCATTGGAAGTTCATCGTTTTTGCAAGTCGAAATGCTTTCAGCGAGAATAGCCGGGATATGTCCGATGCTTTTTGACATTTCGATTTTATTGCGCTTGAAAAGTCCGTCTTTATCATCTGTGAACTCCTCTCGTGCTAGAAACCAGAGAACGACTCCACGCTGGCGCTGGTTTTAGAATAATGAAAGAACAACCGAGGAGCCTCTCTCCTTTTTTTCTTCTTCCTTCCTTCCTCCTCTCTTCCCGCTTCCTTGTTTGCCTCTCTTCAAATGCTCAGCCAGAAAATGCAGAGAGAAATTACTGGACCCTTGTAGCGAGATAATTGAGTGGAGAAGTCTCGAAGAACTACTCGTCTTCGTTGTCCTGTTTGTTAATTTCTCTTTTTCTTATGTGAAAAAAGACCTTTTAGTCGGAGGTATGCAGGTGCGAGCTTCAGTTTCCCATCATAATTGTTCTGTTATCAGTTGTTTACATCTTTTTTATATCGTCATTTTTCCTGAAAATGAATTTTAGTATCTGTTCTCTTACCATGATGTCACTGTCCGTAGAAACCGAACAACAAAGACGTAAGGCAACGGAAGCTTTGGGTGATCATGGTGATCTTGGAATTCCTTTGGCGGTTGTTTTATGATGCTATTACAATAAGGAGGGCATTTCAGTGCATTTGGTGTAGAAAATTGGAAAAAAAATTGCGGGGAACAGGAAGATTTTTCTCCGAACAAGGGAAATCATTTCGTTGCCGGGAGTTTAAGTGTTTTCAGTACACCGGAATGCCACCCCTCACTGGGTGTCAGGACGTCTGCCAACCGCAAGCCTCTACTTCATTTTCTTGTTCCTTTCTTCTCGGCTCCTTTTTTTGCTCGGTTT